GCTTAGAAATAATTATTAGCAAATCACGCAAAACTTTGCACGGCACTGAGCTTTTATACCATACGCGTCACCGTAATCATGGCAACACCGTTACGTTGACAGCGCGAGCTAGCGCTAGCGCGTGGCACACATCCAATACTGGCAATAGGCAATACATACATGTACATTGACTTTGCACAGTGTACTGTAACTTGTAAGACATTAATTTTAGTACGAGGTCAATAGGAAATCAGAAAAGCCGAGTAAAAGACCGAGCTGCGAAGACGAGGTTTTTTACGAGGTCTTTTATTTCCTAAACAGACCAAGTACGAAGTCAATATTAGATTTATCACGACTAACAGTCCGTATTTCAAATTCCAGAACGATAACCTCATGAATCCCGGTTTTATGATTGCACAACCGTTGCACCACCACCTACTCATGCATTGACAATACTGCACTAGGCACCGCGTACCGTTCAACTGCGCAACCCCTAAGCAGTCAAATATAAGCAGTCAATATAGCCCTAAGGAGTGAAATATGCAGGAATATTTGACTGCTTAGGTATAGCGAAAATCAATGGGAGTCAATACTAAGGGAGTGATAAAAGCCATTATCACTCCCTTAGTAAGACTCACATAGATTTTTGCCATACCTAAGCAGCCAAATATTCCTGCTTATCGCACCCCACGTGAGTGTCTCCATGGTTTGAGCCAATCAGCGGCCTTACTGAGCGTGCAATATTCCCCAGTACACCGCCAGCCAATGTGGATGCACTGCAGTGCGATACTGCACCCCGGCGGGTGAGCGTGCAAATAACCTATATCTGGACGCTCACTTCGAAGTGAGCGTGCAAATAACCTATATTTGCACGCTCACTTCGAAGTGAGCGTGCAAATATAGGTTATTTGCACGCTCACTTCGAAGCGAGCGTGCAAATATAGGTTATTTGCACGCTCGCTTCGAAGTGAGCGTGCAGATATACATGTAGGTTATTTGCACGCTCACTCGCCGGGGTGCATTATCGCACTGCAGTGCATCCACATAGTCATCTGGTCATTGGCTGGCGGTGTACTGGGGAATATTGCGAGTCGCTCCGCCAAGCAGTCGCTGCTGACTTGCTGCAGCACACCAAAATAATAATTGGTCGAGGACGCTGTCGCGGAAGCGAATGTGGACCCGGCTTGCGTCCGCCAAGTCAACTTCACAAGCTCCGTGAGAGTCGAGAAAGCAGACGCCCAAGAGAAGATTGTCGACAGCCGATTTGAAAAACTGTCCGACGCCGCCATCGACAGCCTCGTTTCTGAGCAGAAAAACAAAAACACAGAGCAGGCAACTGACAAATGGCTCCGCTTATTCGACGAGTATTGTAAAGACACAGGACGTCGCTGTGACCTGAGTACGGTTACGGCAAGCGACCTAGCTTACATTCTGCGACATGCATACGTCGAATTCCGTCCGAAGAAAGCTGGAGTGAAGTTCTACTCTGCATCAAGCTTGCTCGGTTTCCGTTCCGCAATACATCGCAAGCTAGTCGAGTTGAAGCGGCCCATGAACGTCCACAGTGACCCAGCGTTCAAGGACGCAAACATTGCATTGAAGGCTTTCCTCATGAAGCCAAAGAAAGCGGGAGAAGTCAAAGCGGTGGAGCACAAACACCCCATCAACGACGACGACATGAGCAAGCTGTCCCGCTACTTCCAGGATCTCCCGTGTATACAGCAGCTGCTCGAAAGAAGTGTTCCTCTAAAAATGAACGCGACTGGTTGTGCTGTGTTGTATGACTGTGAAATGATAGCAGGGTTGCATGCAGCATGCTAGGGTTGCACCAGACCGGGTCAAGTGTGTGGTGACAGACTGTGTGGTGGCAGGGGTGCGATAAATGTATTACTGCACTCGGACGCGTGCAATACCGGCGTCGATATCTGCACTTACGGCTTCGCCGTTCGTGCAGATATCGGCCGGTATTGCACTGGTCCTTGTGCAGTAATACATACATATTTCACTCCTTAGGGCTATATTGACTGCTTATATTTGTCTGCTTAGGGGTCGCGCAGTTGAACGGTGCCTAGTGCAGCATTGTCACTGCATGAGTAGGTACTAGGTGGTGGTGCAACGGTTGTGCAATCATGAAACCGGGATTCATGAGGTTATCGTTTTGGAATTTGAAATACGGACTGTTTGTCGTGATAAATCTAATATTGACTTCGTACTTGGTCAGTATAGGAAATAAAAACCTCGTAAAAGACCTCGGCTTCGCCTCGGTTTTTACTCGGCTTTTATTTCCTATATTGACCTCGTACTCAGTCAATATTAGATACTTATTCTAACGAGGTGCATATTATGACGATTTCCCAAAATTGACTAGTTTACGTGTACCAAAGGTAACGATTCTCACTCATTCTCAACGCTCAATAGGACAGTATATGTATGGATTTCTGTATAACGATTTCTATTTTAACGACAGATTTCTCCTCGTTAAGGGGGCACATCACCCAAAATTCGCTGAAAAATCGAATTTGTAAATTCATATTGAGTGCTACGTCAGTTGAAAGAGCATGAATAGCTGCAAATTCTCTGAAAACTGTGTCCTTATCTGACCAGCCGTTCAAGAGTTATGGCCGAAAATGTGCCCTTGCAAGGAAAGATTTTTTTGTTGCATGCTGTCATTTGTTGGCAGCACTGTATTTGAATGTGAGCAGACCGTGCGCAACTTGTCGTATTACGGAAACACGCGAAAGTGTGCAGGATTTTTGCCCCAAGTCCAAAAAAGTCCAAAAATCACGTTAAAAAACCACGTATTGGGCTGCACGGCGGCGGGCTTCGTGCAGCAGGACTTTTTGCCAGCACCCTCGTGACGTTGCAGATATGTGCCCTTGCAAGGAAAGATTTTTTGTTGCACGCTGTCATTTGTTGGCAGCACTGTAGTTGAATGTGAGCAGACCGTGCGCAACTTGTCGTATCATGGAAACACGTGAAAGTGTGCAGAATTTTCCAAAAAATCAGGTTTTTGAGCCACGTATTGGGCTGCACGGCGGCGGGTGCAGCAGGACTTTTGCCAGCACCCTCGTGACGTTGCAGATATGACATATGTGGCTTGATTATTGTAGTTGACGTTGATTTAGTGACTTTGGCAAGTTTGAGTCGTGTCAAGAAGTCAGGTAGGATTCAGTACTAGGCAGTAGTGAAACGTGAGTGGTAGTCTTTGCCGGTTTCTGAGGGTATCCTGGATTTGGTGTGCAGCGCTGTGGAAATGGCTTGCTGTGGAGGTCCCAGCACTGGATGTTGTATCAAAGGTACGACCTCGTAGCACGTGCTAAACCTAAAAAAATTCAAAAATTGACTTGGGTCTGTGGGAGTGTGTGAGAGAACGCCCACTCGTTCCGTTGTGACAGATTCCAGGGCCTCGTTGAGGGGCCCTACCCCATCACCCATGGCTGCTTCTGGACTTGTTCTAGGTTTGGGTCCCGCGCACGAACAGAATGAGCACGAAAATGTGAAAAAATTGTAAATGCATTTGTTTGGCTCCTGGGTGGCTCGCACACCGTGGCACTATGCCGGAAATTTGAGTTTTTCCGGCCTGGAAAGCCTGTCAGTGAGGCGCAAGAACTTGTAAATCATGTCCTGAGGGCCAGCATAGTGGCAGGAGTGTGTGGTCAAAATTTCACTCAAATCCATTGAGAAACACCAAAGTTACGGTCAATTGAATGCCATATGAAATTCATGGGTAGGCTGCCCCCTTAACTCGTTAGAGTTAGCACTTCGTTATTTATGGCTTTTACAGTACTACACGAGTCATGACTGTACAATCATGTACATAGTCATTGTGTACAATTATTTCTCAGCGTGTCGTCACGCAAGCCAGCCAGTCGTCAAGTCTTGCAGTGTCTCGAGGAGTTCCTCAGGGAAGTATTTTAGGCCCTACCCTTTTTAATGTCTACCCGAGGGACCTTCCCCGGCTTGCGGAGACAGCGGGTTCAAAATTACTGATGTTCGCAGGTGACAAGACAGTCTACTCTAGTGAATCGTCGAAGGCGCGTTCCGAAGCCAAGTTGTCATCGGCACTGGAGATACTAAACAACCACCTTGGCTCCCTTGGCATGCAGATAAATACCGACAAAACCGTTGTCATGCAACTCCATCCCAAACGAGCCACAGGGAGTCAGCAACAACAACAAAGGCAACAACTGCAAATCACCTTGTCAAATGTCACGCTAGGGGAAGTGGAAAGCAACAGATGCCTAGGAGTCGTTGTTGACAATAAGCTGTCCTTTGACCAACACATTAACAATGTCGTCCGGAAAGCCTCACGGAAGATCGGTGTACTGCGCCGATCTTTCCGCCAGATGAACCTGTTTGCCCGCCGTACTTTCGTTGTCAGTGTTATTCAGCCTGATCTAGAATATGCTCTCCCTGTATACCTTTCGTTTATATCCGTTAAAAATAGAAACAAGCTAGCCGCACTCCACCGGCGCGCTGTACGAGTTGCTTGTGGCGCATCACCCCAAGCTAATATCACGCCACTTCTTCACCACCTCAATGTTTCCTCTTTCCAATATCGATCAGTATTAGTAGGAAGCGACGAGCGGGTTCTGGGCCAGGGGGCGCCCGGGTCCCAAAAAATGGGGTATTATTGAAAAATGGGGTACTAATAGTACCCCATTTTTGCGGTGAAAATTATTTTTGGCCCGGTTTTTTTGCGGATAAAAATATGTGCCAGGGGGTGCCCCTACCTCAAAAAAAAGGGGGTATTATTGAAAATATGTATTGGGGTGTTATGCTCTACCCTAAACAATAAGGTAATATGGTGTCATGATTTGGAATTCTGCATGTATCATTAATTTTGATTTTTAGGGGTGGGTAATATGTCCAGCCCTACATCATAATATTGCATTCCGATGTCTAAAATATTACTATTTCAAATGTCAATGTTATCTCACTTTTTCCAATTTTATATTAATCAGAACTCATAGTTTTGCAGTATTTTGACTTGTAATTTCAATTTTTCGGATCATTTTCCATTGTTAACGTGCAGAACACTGACAACAAGTGTTTACTGTAAGTATAGCAGTGGGGTTTCAGTGTGGTGATACGGTGTATGGATTGAACTGTATGCCGCCTGTCCATGTCTTATGTCATCCGTACTTTAGATGGTCAATACTGGCTGCTAAATTTTCGGCAGACAAGTCTCATCCATGTCGTCAATCGTCGTACGCAGAACATGCGGATACTGTGGATGTGAGCGGCATCGAGTTTCCAGCAAAACTGGAAGACATACCAGTCATCGAAAGACTGAACGACGGTCTTTACATCAACGTCTTCGGATATGAAGAGAAAGTCATATATCCGTTAAGAATTTCTCAGCAACCGCAGACCGCCATCAATATATTGCTCATCCAAGACGAACGCAATGACGTGGAGGTGCAGCACTGGGTGTGGATAAAGTCATTCAGTCGTCTTGTTGCTACTGGAGCACGTCGAGCACATTTTGTCTGCTTCAGATGTCTCTCAACACACGTCACGGAGAAGGCATTGAATAATCATATGATGTACTGCAGTGAACATCCTGAAGCTACGGTGGAGATGCCAAAGGCTGGTGATAGAGTGATGTTCAGGAATGTGAACAAGCAGCTTCAAGCCCCATTTGTAAGTAGAACACTTAATCAAGGTGAACACACTGTGGTCTGTTTTTTTTTTTGTTTTTTTTTCTTTTCTTTTCTTTCCTGCACATGTTTCTTGACTCTGATTGTTCACCTTTCTGCTGTTTTACTCGGTGTTGTCTCTGCAGCTATTCCTAATTCTCTATCTGTCTTTTCCGCTGTTTTACTCGGTGTTGTCCCTGCTGCTATTCCTACTTCTCTCTCTCTCTCTCTCTCTCTCTCTCTCTCTCTCAAATGCAGGTGATCTATGCCGATTGTGAGGCCTTCATAGAACCTCTGTCCGCTGTCAAGAAAATCGGTCATTCGACATTCCAAAAGAACAAGCATGTAGCCTGTTCCTGTTCGTACATTGTAGTACGATCTGATGGCGTCGTCACGAACCGTTTCTTCTACCGTGGAGAAGATTCTATGTTCTGTTTTCTGCTGTCACTTGAGCAAGAGGAGGAGACTATCCGTGATGAGCTTCTAGCATGTAATGCTGGTCAAATGATCATTTCAGAAAGTCAGCAACGTGAATTTGAAACGGTAGTCTCCTGTTGGATCTGTGGTGAAGCGTTGGGTAGCGATCGTGTACGTGACCACTGTCACATCACCGGTGCTTACCGTGGTGCAGCACACAACCATTGTAACCTGAACATGCGGATTGAGCCGTTCAAGATCAAGATTCCTGTGATCTTTCATAACTTGAAGGGATACGATTCTCATCACATCATATCTGCCATTGGGAGAACATCCACTGATGAGATTACGTATGTGAACGAGAAAGGACAAGAACGGGTACGTTACATATGCGTGGTGTGTGTGTGTGTGTGTGTGTGTGTGTGTGTGCGTGTGCGTGGATCATGATGTTTTTCTAAGAAGGAAGATCATTACTATGTTGGTACTCATATTCACGTTTATATGATTGATATTCATCTTTACAGCTGCACCTTAAAACTGTGTCTCCTCTTTTTCTTTCTTCTTCTCAGACCAAGCGTCTCGGTGCTATCAAAGTGATTCCCATCAACAGTGAAAAATATGTCACATTCGGATGGAGACAGTTCCAGTTCATCGACAGCCTGGCATTCTTGAACACCTCCCTAGACCGGTTGGTTTCGGCCACACCACCAGATGCATTCGCCCTTCTATCCGCACGATTTCCAGACGAGGATGAACGCAAACTGTTGACACGAAAGGGTGTCTACCCGTATGAATATATGGGGTCGTACGACCAATTCGAAGAAACGCGTCTACCACCCAAGGATGCATGCCACTCAACGCTAACGAACACGGTGAGTAGTGTGATAGATATAGTAGATCTTTCTCTCTTTCTTTTTTCACCATCTTACTTCGAAGTACTAAAATAAGACAAAATGTGTTTGAACGCTTCCTGCAGCTTCATACTAAATAATTGATTGTGTGGGCGAACTACTAAAATAAGTTCGTTGATTTGTTTTTCTTTTTGGTGTACATTTTCTATTCCCTAGGGTATCAGTGATGAAGACTATGCCTATGCGCAAACAGTATGGACTGCGTTTGACTGTGAAGATCTAGGAGACTATCACGACCTCTACCTGGAGACTGATGTGCTGCTGTTGGCTGACGTTTTCGAAAACTTCAGAAGAACTGCTCACGCAACCTATGGATTGGATCCCGCTAATTACCTCACCTTACCGGGATTTGCCTGGGATTCGCTGCTGAAAATGACGAAGGTGTCCCTTCATCTCATTTCCGACATTGACATGTTCAACTTCATTGAGCATGGCAAAAGAGGTGGCATAAGCATGGTGTCCGCTAGACACGCCACCGCCAACAACAGATATCTATCGGAGTACAATCCAGACGAGCCGTCAAGCTTCATCCAATATTTAGATGCGAACAATCTATATGGATGGGCCATGTCTCAACCCTTGCCCGTGTCGGACTTCTGCTTTGAAGCAGTGACGGATGATCTTCTGGAGACGGTACTCGATCATCCAATGGACTCTTCGACGGGATACATGGTGGAGTGCGATTTAAGGATTCCAGATGGTGTGCATGACATGATGAATGACTATCCGTTGGCTCCTGAGAAGATGAAGGTGACACGAGATATGCTTTCTCCATATCAGACCCACATGGCAGAGAAACTAATGGTAAGTCATGGTCTATCTGGTGGATATGCTTGTATTAATCTTCTAAGGTTTGTGTATATCTATACTGTACTCTTGTAGGTGACCGGTTTGGAAGCGAAGAAACTGGTACCAAATCTACTACCGAAAGAGCACTATGTTCTGCACTACAGAAACTTGCAGCAGTATGTGTCCTTGGGTGTGGAGATTACAGATGTGCATCGTGTGCTCTCCTTCACACAACACCCATGGATGAAGCCATACATCGACACTAATACTGACCTGAGAAAGCTATCAACTTCTGATTTCGAGAAAGACTTCTATAAGGTGGGTACTCCACATCATGTGTGTGTGTGTGTGTGTATTTAGCGATAGTGTGGGATCTAGTATGTACTGGAAGTGTGAATGACCTGAAGATAACAGTTTTCTTATTGTTGTTTTTCTTGGCTTTTCTTTGTATGCCTGTTTATCGTAGTTGATGAACAATGCTGTATATGGCAAGACCATGGAAAACGTTCGAAACAGAGTAAACATCAAGCTCATTCGTGAACAGGATGAAAAACCACGTCTCCAGAAAAGCATCAACAAACCTTCGTACATCCGCAGTGTAGCCTTTGAGAACGATCTGATAGCAATCGAGTTTGCCAAGACAAAGGTGACTCTCAATAAACCCATTTATGTGGGTACAGCCATCCTCGATCTGTCGAAGCACTTGATGTATTCCTTTTACTATGAAGTTCTCCTACCCCGCTATGGACAAAATGTACGTTTGCTCTACACTGATACTGATAGTCTGATCGTACATATTCAAACGGATGATCTGTACACCGATATGTCAAACAACATAACAGCCTATGACACATCCAACTATTCACCATCCCACCACCTGTACAGCACGGTCAACAAGAAGGTGGTAGGGAAGTTCAAGGACGAACTAGGTGGCAAACCCATCAAGGAGTTCATTGGTTTGCGGAGCAAGATGTACGCATACCGCTGTGAAGACAACGACGACAATGGCAAGCGTGCCAAAGGTGTGCAGAGAAGCGTGTTGAAAAACACCATAACCGTCGATGATTATCGAACATGTCTCGTCGAGGAGTCTCAGCTGAAGAGAACAATGAATGTTCTTCGAAGTCGACGACATTGCATTCACGGAGAGGAGCTACACAAGATTGCCCTCTGTGGATTCGACAGTAAGCGTTACATTCTGGAGGATGGTATCAACACCCTGGCATTCGGACACAAGGATATTCCAAAGCACTGAGGGATTTCCACACATACTAGAGCATATGTCATATCTTCTCATGAAATACATTGTAAATACTATGCGATTCATAATATTCACGTTAATCCAAAGCATGAGCTACATTGTACATATGAAATGCTAATACTTTTTGAGATCATTCACATCCTTCTTTGTTAACCAGGTATGGAATTTTTCGTCTTGATAACCCTTCCATTTGACGAGCCGACTGTTCTTGTTGTATTTCAACACCTTATCGAATCTCAATCCTGTGTGTCTGGCATGTTGTAGCTCAGCTCCATAGAACTGTCCTTGAATGACTTCTCCCATCAGGTCTTGAACACGATAGGTGTGGGGTACAGTGGGTAGGACATCGTTTACCACGAACACTTCCTCTGTCCAGTTGGGCGTGTACCCTTTCTCGAAATGACGTTTAGCCACAGCCAAACGCACATCATCACCCACTTTGAATTTAGCTGGTGATTGCTTCGAGTGTACGTCTGCATCTTTTGGTTTTCCATCAAGAGAAGCTTTCGTGGGACTCATGCCGATACTGCGATGTTTCAAGCTGTTGTACTTGACCATAAGCTGAGGAAGGACGTCAAGATACTGTGTCGTAGCTTTCTCCGTGAAATGGCGCCACATTCTGCCTTTCAGTGTTCTATTGAAGCGTTCCACCACCACGGCTTTTCCTTCGTTGTGGGTGCTGTACATGATGATGTTGTGATCCTTGACCCATTGCTTCATTGTTGCATTGTAGAACTCCTTGCCTTCGTCTACCCATAGTTTTTGTGGTACCCTGTTCGATGTTTTCAGGATCAGGTCGAATGCATCCCTGACAGCAGAGCCAGTTTTGGTTTTCAGGGGTACTGCCCAGGCATAGCGACTGTACAGATCGATGACGGTCAGCAGGAATTTGTAGTTCTTGTTGCTTCGGGCAAACCGTTGCATATCCACTAGATCGGCACTCCAGATGTGATCCACAGACCTGCTCTTCACCTTGCGTCTTTTGAAATGCACTCGTCTGGGTTTGTGCAATTCGTTAGCCAGTTGCGTGTGGAATGGTGTGGACTGCGACTTCTTCTTCTGTCTTCCATCATGAAGTGCTTTTTGCACTTTCGTATCCCACAAGGCTCCACCACCTCGCAAGGCACCTAAACTGAGAACCAGTTGATCGTTTTCCAGCTTTTCATCCTCATCGAAGACTCTTCGGAAAATTCGAAGTGCTTCATCCAGACCATATTTGGAAAATAGCTTTCCCATCAATATGGCATACCATCCACATACTGCTGTGCTTCTGTCTTGAACGGCTTGGGTGTTGGTGATGATCTTACAGTCTACATAGGCTTCTTTAAAGAAATCGCACAGTGCAGGTTCAGTGTAATCTTGCTCCATAGTGTATAGACTGCGTCCGAAACTGTCAAAAACCAGGATCACGTTTTGCTCGCGACACACGGTCAACCAATGATGTCCACCTTCCGGTGCATCGTACACCGGTAGAACGTTGTCGGTGTTGACGATACAAAAGTCTCCATTGTTCAAGGGTGGTAAGAGATCGTAACTTGTACACCCCACGAACCCTCCAACACCATTCAATCTTCCTTTGATGTCGGCACTGCTGAGAGGGTAGTCCATTCTTGATCATAGCCTGAAAATTTTCGCGCACGTGATCACATTGAACGTCCACTCAGGATATCCTTGATGATACGAGTGATCCTGCTTTTATCCTTCAGAACCTCTTGAATGAATGATGCATCGTCCACCATCACCTTTTGTGCTCTGATCATGAAATGCTCGGGATGGATCAATTTTGCTTCAGTTGTTCTACCATACGTAGAAGTCATATCGTTGAGATCTTGAAACTTGAGCTGCGATCCTGGTACAGCTAGCACTAGGGTGGCTAGTTCATGAATCTTTCGTTCTGATCGAAGGAATCCATCGACATGTTTGTGGATTCCCACCGCACCCGCTATGGTTGCAAACGGGTACCTGGACATGTAGATGCGATTCGTCTCGTTGACCAGAGTAGTGTAGTCGTTCATCGTCTGCGTCTTCAGGGCATCCGCAGCCGCTTCCACCCGACTCCTGAACCTCAGTCGATCTTCATCGTAGAGTTGCAGCAGTTGTGATCGGCTTGTGAAATAGTTGCTCTTCAAAAAGGTTGCCGGTATATTTGTATGTCGGAGGAAACTGTCCAGGATTTGTAGGATCCATCGGTCAAATTCGTGGTCTTGTAATAGATTGAAAGGCACTGATGTTAAAGGTGCCTTTCTCTTCTTCCTGACATCTGCAACGGAATCGCGAACTTGATCGGTAGTGGAATCATAGTTGAGTATGTTGGATGCAATCACATTTCTCACAGACGGGTAACTGATGTGATCGGGATTGTTTTTGAAGTGGGTGTCATATAGACGCTTTACTCGCGGATCAGCTTGCAGTTCCAACAGGGTGGAGGTGCTCAAACTGTGATCTGGCACTTGGGAAAGAACTTTCTTGACGCTTTTCAAGTAGGTATTGTAGTTATTACCTCCTTTTTGCCGCATGAGTGGTGGTATACCGAGAACTTCCCACGAATTTACTCTCTTCTTGAGGATGTGTTGAGGATGTTTCGACATAAACTGCAAGGTTTGCAACCTTTTACGCTTGGGTATCGAGAAGGATCCCTTTCTGGACCCCACCCTCTGTATACTGCTCGGTAGCCCATTTGAGAATTTCACCGTAAGATGCTCCATTCTTATTCATTATTGGAATTTTTTTTTCAATGTTTCGGCTAACTTTTCGGCTAACTTTTCGGCTAACTTTTCGGCTAACTTTTCGGCTAAACACGCACATCAACGAGGTTTTTATTCAAAAGTCACCTTTAATGCAGTGTCTTCGCAATACGTGTAGTACTGATTAGAAGAGCAATCAATGGTTAGGATAGGTCTGCGACACACCGCCAATAACTTCTCATACAATCTAAAGATAATGGATGACTTCGTGCACAGACCACCAAACAGAGTATTGAGATAACGCTTGATATTGCTTTTATCAGTGAAGCGAAATAGATACATAAAGTTTGCATTGATCTTCATGTCCTTAATGTTATCAAAGCTCTGAGAGAGAAAGAACACGTTCAACTTATGATGATGACTGTACATGGTGAAGAACTTGTAGAGACACTCTCTTTGGCTGCCGTGCTTCAAACCCATCACTCTGATGTCATCAATGATCACATAGGTGTTAGGCTGGAGATCCATGTCTTCGATACACTCGGGCATGGTGCTGTAATGCTTGAAGGATTTGAGGCTTGGGAGACGATACTGATCGGCCGGCGTGTTGGAGATGACAACTATACGCTCAGGTTGCACACGTTTCAGGAGCTTGATGAGAAAGTAGGATTTACCCATGTTGCTCTGTCCCAGAAACAATACGTTTTGACCCCAGGATTTCAGAGCAGGAATGATTTCCGTGAACCAATCCTTAGACTCGAACTGAAGACCAGGAATGTGCAGCCCGTGTCGAGCAGTGGCCGTGGTCGGAACATCGTCGTTCCTTACGGGACTAGTCTTTTTCTTCCTCCCGATTTCCTGTCCAAGGAGCGAGATAAAGTCCATGATCAGATGTTGTAGGATGGACCGATGTGAGCGGAACTCATAGAAGACGGTCCTGCACTGTTAATGTTCTGTCGAATTTTTTGAGCAAATGGAGTTTCAGGACGGGTTAGGGATCTACGAGGTGCAGACAGGAACGATGAAGCTTCGTCGAGGGCACGATGTCCTAGTTTTTTGAACAAGGCCCTTCCTTGTTTCTTTATTCCTCGTGCCCTGCGGCCTTTGGAGCGAACTTGACGAGCTGGTTTCTTGGTTTTTCGAGATGCTCGTTGCCGAATCTTCTTCGGTGCATGCCGCCGACGACGACTTTTAGTGCGCTTCATGGCACCTGCTGAGCTTCCCTTCCTTACTCCTCTGCCGAATATTTTATCCATTACGTTGTCACCCAGTGATGCCATGGTACCCATGGCCAAGGGAGCAGCCAGGTTCGTCAGGAGTGGTATGGCCTTGGCGGCTAATCCTGGTGGAATGGCTAGACCTCCTCGGTGCATGGCAGGGTTGTAAGCTGTTTTCATTTGCGCTTCCACAATGTCTCCGGACTCTCCTCTCCCCAAAAGCATGGGAAGAAGTGTCATTCCTGCCATGGCAGCCAGGGGTCCAAGTCCACCGCGTTGCATTGCATCTTGTTTTGTCGTGGGTTCCGCCATCTGCTTTTCCATCTCATCCGGTCCAGCACCGATTAGGTTTTTCCAGAAGCTCTTTTTCCAGAAGAATCCACCGTGTTGTCGACTCGATGTTTTCAAATCACCACCGTAGACACGATGTCTGGTCTCCAGGTCACCACCTTCCATGATGCCCTTTTACTACTAGGTCGGAATTAATTCATACAACTTCGGCTTTGATACCTTCATCTTTGCTCATGGTGTACAAGTACTTGTCCATGCAGAGAAGGTTGACTTTGATCGAGGCGCCATTTTCGCTAGGTCTCCTCACGGGGGCGTTTGTCACGTCGCTAAATTGATAGTCGATGGACAGATTTCCTCTCGATCTTGGATTGTCTGTGGTCCGATCCAGATTCAAGTTGATAGGCACCATAAAGTAGTGATTGCAGTAATCTGCAGCGGTGATGGGGATTTGCGTTCCATACGTCTTGCCGAAAAAGTCTTGAACCAGATTGTAGCCACGCAGGTAGGAGGATTTGTTGTAATCGTAGAAGTATTGCCCTTCAGTATTACGACTCACATCCCACTGGAACTTGAGCGGGTTGTCAAAGAGCGTCTGGTCGTTGACAGTGACACGAAGTTGACTGAGATTTGCATGAATCATGGCCAGTCTGTTCGAAGAATGCGATGCTTCACCTCCAGCCAATGCTGGCTGTGTACCATGCGTCAAATCTGTGAAGAACAGGATCATCCTGCGTGGAATGTCCGCATTGTGAAGCAGTTCCAGTGTACCAGCATCATCTGAAATGCTCTTTTGTATGAGACGAGGGCACCACGTGTGGAAATAGAGTTGTTTGGGAAGGCGTACACGATCGGTGAGATTGGGTTCCATGCGATAGGTAGTGTACACAAAGTCCAATTGGAGTAGATCGATCTCAATATCACCGACGCTCAGAGCACTGTTGGCACCACCGCCTTGATCGCTAAGCATGATGTATCTGGAAAGCTCGGAT